GGGTTATAGGCTGGAATGTCCATTGATAAACAAAGTGCGGGGCCTTACAACGGGAGTCCAAACAAGACACAGAACAGAGAGCTTTCCTCTCCATCACAGGAAGGATATATAAAAACAAACGGAGGCCAGAGAGAGAGGGTTATGAGCACCGGGGGGATCGTCCATCTTCATTTTTATACAGTTTGTCTTGAAGATCGTTTCACTGTCCTTTTTTCTAAAATTTTCTGTCCTTGTTTTTTTTTTGTATTTTTTTTTTAAAAAGCATCCTTTCATCCCACAATCAGCTGTTTTTCCACTGGCCATGTGTTCAGGTACATAGAAAACATATCTACAGCTTATGATACACACCCCTCTCAGGCCGAGTTCTCAGGGGGCTGCCGGAGGGAGGGGCCCGACAGCGGAGAGAGTGGTCAGTGCCACCCTGTGCTCAGGTACCCCGAGCTGTGGAAGGGGGTCGAGGACGCAGGAGCTCCACGAGTCCCAGAAGGCATCTGGGAGGCGGCGGCCTGGGCCTGGCCTTGTTGAGTCTGTTGGGGGGGAGGAGGGGGAGGTGGAGGCAGTCCAGTCTGCTGAAGGGGCGGGGGGTACGTCGATGGGGGCACTGAAGGGTTGGCGGTGGCACCTGGGTGCAGCAACGCCGGCTGAAAAGCCCCTAAGTTCTGAAAGTGGTGGGGCTGCATCGGGGCGTTGGTCGAGGGGGCTGGGGGAGGCGGAGGAGGAGGTGGAGGAGGGGTGAGCGACAGCAGGGTGCTGCCAGCAGGAGGCGGCTGCTGCTGCTGCTGCTGGGAGGTCTGGCCCTGTGGGGGAGGAGGCGGAGGAGGGGCGGTGTTCAGCATGAGCTGGTGCTGCTGGATGGGAGGAGGTTGCAGGTTTACGTGCAGCAGGGTGGGGCCGGGCATCTGGTGTGGGGGTGGAGGAGGAGGAGGTGGTGGAGCAGCGGAGCTCTGATAGTGCACGCTGTGGGGAATAGTCTGCATCAGGGGCTGAGAACCAGGAGGGTACGGGGGCGTGACGGCAGGTTTGAACCCAGGAAAAGGTCCGGCCGGTGACGGGCTCTGACTGGGGAAGTACGCTGAGGACACTGGTGGTGCTGGGGGAGGAGGGGGAGGTGGTGGTGGAGCACTCTGTGTGTTATACTGGGTGAAAGGAGCGGGGCCAGTCTGCGCCTGGGGCTGGGGTTGGTTCTGAGGCTGTGCGGAGAACAGCGCCCTCTGGCTGCGGTAGGGAGAGCCCTGAGGCTGAGGCTTGGGCGAGTGGAGGAGGGAGGATCCGGGATAGTGCACGGGTGAGGAGGGTAACGGGGTGGGATGCAGCTTGGTGGGGGTCAGAGGAGCCGGCTTAGGTACTGCAGGCTTGCTTGGCGGCTGGCTGGTCGGATTTGGCGTCCGAGGCTGACTGTCGGCGTCTTCCTCCTTCGCTGGTCGGCTGGGAGGCTGGGCGAGGGGACCAGGAGAGCACGGCTGAGAGGGAGGAGAGAAGAAGGGGTCAAACAGGTGTTGATAACCAGCTGAGAGGAGTCAGAGCTGCTTCATGACTTACTGTGTGGGTTGGGGTCTTTTGAAGACTTGGAGACGGACAGTCTCTCAGTGCAGGTGTATCGCCACCGTCTGTCTCACCATCTGAAAAGAGGGGTAATAACAAAGTGAAGATGTAGATGTGAAAAATACCTCTTTGAAGAAATCATTTGATATATATGTTTCCTGCCACTTCATATTTAACAGACAGATTCTCTATCAATTCTCATCTAACTCTCGGCAACAAAACAAATTGTTTCAGTGCACTTGGTCGACAGTTACTATCCTCACCTGTGTCTTTGTCTTTGCTGAGCAGCAGAGCTCTGTGGTAGCTGCGTTCTCGGGCCTGCTCGACAGAAGTGGACGACGTCCTGAAAAGAAACACATCATCACATCTATACATCCACATATGCTAACCTACATTTAACAACTGATACTAACAACAGGTTCTTCATGTTTTAAGTATAGGTAGCTGTGGCAGTACGTACCACTGTCCCTCTCCTCCTTCCTTCTCTCCTTTCTCTCCAGGCGCCTCTGCCTCCTCACTTGTCTGCGGCTCTTTCACGACGACGCTGTTGGTGTTGCAGAGAGGAGTGGGAGCGGGGGGAAGAGAAGGTTCGCTGGCGGTCTCCAGCGCAACAACGGGGAAGGCGTCCACGCTCAGAGGGGGCACGGTGGAAACAGGAGAGCTGCACTCGGTCTTGGAGCCGCTGCGACGAGCTTCGCGCTGACGTTTCCTGTATTCTAGCAGGGAAACCTGGGAAGAGGCAGAACAGGAACCTCCATGTCATTTATGGACAAAGAGCAGGTCTCATATTGAACCAGTAGAGGGCAGCATTTAGACAGCTACTGACAGAGCAGAATGAGTCAGTGCATCTCTTGAGATCATTAAACCATAACAACATCATCTTATACTGCAATTTGAACCAGGTTATTCTAGATTTTATTAATCATCTCACTATATATA